GGCACCATCTGGTTCTTCTGGTCTCATAGTGATGTAGGCTGAGGTTTGCATGGTCCACTAGTCCCTTGGACTAACTGTGTCCATGAATCTTTGCTCTTCTTCATTCTTCTTTGCTCTGGATGAAGAGAGACTCATCACTGCATCTAGATGGCCGCTTGCAAGCTTTTAATACCACAGTTGCTGCTCAACAAAGTAGGATGTAGAACAATGTTTTTGTGTAGTACGTTATACAATTGAGCTTGATGTCACCTGAGATCATGGTCCCGAGCCCACAGGTCCAACAAATTGCTCCCTCAGGGTAATTGGCTGTGGCTAAGAAGTTACTATAACTTTGCCCCATTAGTCCTATTTATGTGGACATTCTTATAGCTCATACAAAAATGTATGTAGAAATATCTTCTGCCAAACTTAAATATAGTCATGGGTATGTTCCCTTTTGCCTTGATATACCTGATCATTCAGTCTATCTACCTATGTATCTACTCATAGATTAATGTTTGTTATGACTGATAATGCAGAATTGTGTATGTAATAGTGTTTGTCTTTGTTGTCTGTACTTCTTGGGTACCTCTCTGTCTTCCTTTTCCTTAGTTTTATTGTGTTGGTCTCTTGCTTTTGTTATATTGCCTTTCCCTTCACCCAGATCTTAATTTTTAAGAAGTTCAGTTCTGTCTAATGTAAAACTTTAGTCTCATATCCAATTTAAACATTCCCCTCCCTTTCCTCCTCCTCCCCTCCAACCCCCTCCCCAGTTGCTGTGAAGTCAATTCTGAGTCATGGCAAGCCCACGTATGGGTTTTCAATGGCTGATATTTCAGAAGTATATTGCCAGATCTTTCTTCCAAGGTGCCTCTCAGTAGACATGAATTTCCAAACTTTTAGTCAGTAGCTCATTTGTGCCATTAAGGGACTACCTGCAATCCACACCACGATGGTGTGGGTACCAGAGTGGAAAGGGAGTGTGGTTTCTTTTTACCCTTCTCCTGGATCTTGCATACCTCCTTTCTCCCTGTTACTTCTGAGTCTCTATTCTTTCTCAGGTGGAATGTCTGATAAGGGATTGAAGAGGTTCTTTCAAGGCTTCCCAAGGGGGCATATTGTATAACACAGTTTGCTCTTGGCTTTGTTGATAGGGTCCCATTATGCTGGCTCAAGCCTGATTATCTTCTACAGTGTTTTCTTTGCTCATAGGAAAGTCATGCGTCCTTGACAAACTAAATACACGTTGTTGTTGGGTGCCATCAAGTTGTTTTTGATTCATAGAAATTCTATGTACAACAGAAAAAAAACCCCTGCCAGTCCTGTGCCATCCTCACAATTGGTGGTATATCTGGCCCATTTTTGCAGCCACTGTTTCACTCCATCTCATTGAAAGTCTTCCCTCTTTTTGTTGACCTTCTAATTTATCAAGCATAATATTCTTCACCAGGGATTGGTCCCTTCTGATAACATGATCAGAGAACAAGAGATGAAGTTTGGCCATTCTTGCTTCTAAGGAGCATTCTGGCTATACTCCTTCTATGACAGATTTGTTCATTCCATGGTATTTTCAGTATTCTTAGCCAACACCCCAATTCAAATGCATCAATTCTTCTTCGGTCTTCCTTATTCATTGTCCAGCTTTCACACGCATGTGACACAACTGAAAATACCTAACCTTGGGTTAGGTACACCTTAGTCTTTGTGAGGAGTGCCTTGTGGGTTTGAACCATTAGCCTTTTGGTTAGCAGTCAAATGCCTTAGGCACTACACCACCAGAGCTCCCCTTTAATATTTTAAAGAGGTCTTTTGCCTAATCAAATATGTCATTTGATTTCTTGACTGCTACTTTCATGGGTGCTGGTTGTGGAGGCAAATGAAATGAAATCCTTGGTAACTTCAATCTTTTCTCCATTTATCATGATGTTGCTTATTGGTCGAGTTGTGAGGATTTTTGTTTTCTTTATGGCGAGTAGCAATCCATACTGAAGGCTGTTGTCACTGATCTTTATTAGTAAGTGCTTCAAGTCTTCACTTTCAGCAAGCAAGGTTGTGTCATCTGCATATAACATATTGTTAATGAGTCTCCAATCCTGATGCTGCGTTCTTCAGAAAGATGAGGCAGTCTATTTTTTGTAAAAAATTGCAGCCTTGGAAACCCTATGGTGCAGTTCTACTCTGTTCTATAGGGTCAGTATGAGACAAAATTGAGTCAATGGCAGTGGTTTTTTTTTTTTTTTTTGGTAGGCTTAGGAGGTTGTATTGTTGCCGGATTTGGCTGGGTACCTGTTCTAGATGCCCTAACCTCCATTAACAGTACTCTTAGATCCCTTTTCTCCAACTGGCTTGAGGAAAGCCCAAGTATCTCTGACTAGGTCTAAAAACTTAGTCTTCTGATTGTTTAGGCTCCAAGGCATTGTGAGAGTAAGGCTCAAGGAGTAGTTTGGCTACCTCTTAGTAAAACTTTTGAGAGAGATATATATGACCTATTGTCCCTAGTTTGGGGATTAAGCAGACATGCTGAATCTAAATGAAAATATCCTCTCAACAGACATCCCATTCATTTTCCTCCTCTTGTTATAACTTACATAATTATCTCATAAGATTGAAACATTCTTGGCCTTGGTATACTATAGCCTTCTAGTGAATTTAGCAATTTCATATATTTAGTGATGAAGGAAGCATTGTCACATGGAAAAGGGCCAAAAAGTCCCATTAGCCTACTGTGGAAGAATACTAACCTCACAGCACTTAACCTCTGTAGACTATATTTTTATTTTCTTTAAAACAGAGAACTATCACTTGTCCCAAAAAGTTTCAATTTTGGGAAGTATCAAATGAGGAAATAAAAATGAAATTTATCTACACTGTAAAATCACAGATACATGAGATTATTTTTAAAAAGTGTTTGGAAATGTGACTTTATACTATACAAATTGAATAGTTTCATGAATATCTAAAATAAGGTTTATTCTTCCTGGAAATCATAGACAAAAAAATAATCCAACAACCAAATGAAAACTTCATCATATCATCTGTGCCAATTCATCTTTAGGCAGAGCACTTACTAGGGCTTTGCTTTTTCTTGGACACTCTGTTCTCAAAGAAAGTGAAGTAACCTAAAATGATGTCATTGTTACAGCCTGAAATGAAAGGCGGAATGGTAAGTCTGTATTCTTAATTTTTAAAAAATGGTTTCCCTCAAGCATTTTTTAATAGAACAGCAGAATATATCCAAACATTGGCAAGGATGAATTTTCCTTTGCTTTGGCTTAATGAAGTCTCTGTGTTCTACAAAAAAAATTCTATTTCCACTCTTGCTGCCATGAGTCTTGTTATTAGTGTTGAACAGACCCTGGTTGACCATTTAATGCCAGGATTTATGGCCTATTATTTGATCTGAGAGCTTTGTTCCTATCAAAAGTAAGAAAGCTCTTACAGTGAAGAAGGCTTTGGCACTAGCCAGAACATTTCCCCAAGTAGTATCACTGGACTCCCTACAATGAGACCAGGAGCTAGGAGGGAAAAGTTCTGGTCCATCACCTGACCTCTCTGCCCCTATTTCTCTCAGCTATAAACCCAGCTTTTTGGGCTGGATGACTTATAATGTCCCTGAAGCCAAGATGTCCAGCTGATAAAAAAAGGCCATCCCTGTAAAAGTAAAATGTTGTGCATTCAGATTTAGGCAATTCCAGGACTATCATCAGGAAAAACAAAATCCAGATCTTAAGTGAGGAGAGAAAGCTCCTCTTTAAATACTTCTTAAATACTGAAAAAAATCCAGATAACTTCAACACCGGGACGTCAAACTATTTTATATAATGTGAAAGCCTAGATTCACAAAACAGTAAACTAGGACTGACCAATTTCCAAGATTCTTCATTGACAATGACAAGAATGTTACAACAAAACAAAATAAAACTAACAAAAACCACCCCAAACCAATCACTGAACAAGATTAGACACTGTCTCTCACAACAACTTCCTGGGAGCATGTTACATTCTAATGCAAACACTTAAGTAGACTATGTGACTACCAAAAAATGTAATAATTCTGTGTTACTTCTAGGGGTCGTGTTAGGAACAGTCACATATGTTAAATTATTTTTTTAGCTTATAACCCGAAAAAGTTGGAATTGTCAATATTTTGGAGTTCAGGAAAGGTATTAGAGATTTTTGCGGCTAAATCTCACAGTAGTGAGAGTCAGAGGATTTTAAGCTCACCTTCACGGCTCTGATTGCCAGAACTTCAGGAACCTCCTCTGTGGAGGTTTATAAACAGGGGGACATAGTCCATTAATAACAATAGCTTACGTGCTGTGTTTTCTCTGAGCCAGATCTTAAACAACACATTGTACACTATTTTTCTGTGAGCCCTCAAAACTACTCTACGAGCTAGGTACTATTATTAGCAATTATTGTTTACTCTTTATTTAGAACGGCTGGTTGGGAGGCAGATGGGAGTTACCGCTGTCAAGCCGAAGGCCTCTAAATTTTTGGGAACAGACGTGGAGGCACTCTTTCGGTCTTCTGAAGGCGTGAAGTGGCACTCTGAACTGTCTCCACACCCTGACCTCCCCAAGGCTGTACGCCACGTAGCGCCCAGGGATCTGTTTGTCCAATTACATACAAGGTCTCGCTTCTTGATCACACAAGGCAGGAAGAACGGCTGAAGGGGGGCGAAGACCGCAGGGGCCGAGCCCGGAGAGGTCTACTAAGGCGGCGGCACCAGCGCCCTGCCCTGACTGCTTTGTTTCTGCCTGGTCTGGGTGCGGCCTCTGCGCTCACCGCCCGTCTGCCGCGAGATCCCCCAACCACAGCAGCTGCAGATCCTCGCCTCTCAGCTGACCTGTGGGTGGGCGGGCGGGTGCCTTGGGGCGGGGCTAGGACTCTGGGGCTGGG